CTCCTTGGGTCACCGTGTGAGCTCTGGCATCTTTTTGCAGAACAGCAGCCAGGGTTGAAGATGAAGCCAAGGTAGCAGTAAAACAGACCTTTCTGGATGTAGTGCTAATTGGCCCCACGGAGGCCATTCTACCCAAATGAATTCATCAGCTCAGGCAACATATGGTCACCTATCAAAATTCTAAAGGTTGATTAAATGGTTTACTAACATTTTGTTGCACTTGCTATTCATATTTTGACTTTCTTAAGGCAGGTGGAGGGTGAACATCAGTTTTATTGATTAGTTCTGACTCTAAATGTCAAATGGGGAAAAAAGATGAAATAAATTGCTAATAGTAACTTTTTGTTATGTTGGAATTAGCTGCATTTGAAAACATTATAAAACTGAAGAATTAATATACAGATATATGAAAAAGCAATTCCTGATAAAAAAACAGAAAAATTCTTTCTTTCAGAACTTTTCTCTGTGACAGGTGTCTGTTCTAGTCAATCAAAATGTAATTTACCCATAATTATGCATAGTGTGAAAAGAACTTAGGAAATATTTAATATGCAGAGGCTTATCATGATGACTGACAACTATTGCAGGAAATCCACATCTAATTCTGCTACAGAATGCCAATTCAAGACTAAGCTCAGTACAGAGCTCTGACTCACTTAAGAAATAACAATTTACTCTGCATTAATGAAAGAGCCTATCATATAGCCTAAGAAAATTATTTCAGTTAGCCTCAAATTAGAAATATTTCAAAAGGAAAATGGCCTACTGAGTGGAGCATTAAAATATTCATGAAAAGAATATCTTCAAAGAGATTAATAATTACAAATGCTGTGCTCAACATATGAATATACAGCTCTCCACAGAAAAATATTCTGAAGTCTAGGAAGTGCAAGATTTTCAAGCTAAATAATGACTTCAGAAAATTCAAATGAGACTGTAGACACAAAGCTAAGATCATTCTTCTTGCTATTTAGTAATTACTGTGTCCCCGTCATCCTTCAACTTTTCCTATTTCAGGAAGAGGTAGCAACTTCGCAATCACTCCAGCTAGAGACTGGGGGCCATCCTAGATTCTTTCCTTCAGTCCTCAATTAACTCAATCACCAAGTACCAAGTTCTGTTAATCCTGGGTATTTTGTGAAACCATTCTCTTCTGTCCCATTCCCCGTTCCCTGGAGTTCAGGCCCATTTCTTTTCCCTAGATCATGGCCTGATTTTCTTACTGGGCTCCACTCCTTTGTTCCTGCCCACTTCCCCCATGATTCTCCCCTCTTAAACTCCATCCTCAACATTACCACCAAAGTGACCTTAGATAAATCTGATAGTTACATTCTCTAACACTCTTCAACTCTGCCCACGGCCTACAACGCAGTCCAGTGCCATAGCATGGCATTCAAGAAAGCGTGGGCCATCATGATACAGCATCCACACCTTGGCTCCATCACTCCCATCACTAGATGGAGGCCATCCATCACTGGATGGTTGCCACTTCAAGCTCTAGTGATTAACACTCTGTACTTTTCCTCATCTGGTGATTCCCTCCTCATTTTCGAAGGCACAGGTCAGTGACCTCTTCAGCTTTCAGAATCATTAAGGCAGGCTAAGAGACAGACATCCTCTCATCGTGCCCTGACAATATTACAGCATGTATCGTGTTTTCCCAACATGCTTTGCAGATGTGTTTGTACCCTCATTAAATTCCAAAAAGACAACAACCATCTCTAAATATCTTTATGGCCTCCAATACCTTAAACAGGCCTTGAAACATAGTGGGTAGTCAAGACATTAAAATGAAAGAAGCTGCATGATAAGCAGATTATATGAGGTGAATATGTAATTCAACTAAAACACATTTGGGTTATTGTACATAATGTGTATCATAAAAAAATCTAGAAAGCCATTTTACAATATGAACTTAAACTAAAACCTCCAATCTGCCATGTTTTGGGCTAAATGTCTTATTCCGGGTGTAATTTGTTGGGAAACATACATTTTACTTACTTATATCCTGTATTATATGTAGAAGAATGTGAATATTAAGGGAGTAATTCAAGGTGGACTGATCTCAAATTCAAAAAAATCTTTTGAAAACTACTATGTAAATACATTTGCTTCTTCTATAAAACCTTTAATAATGACAATTCAGAAACTGGATTTTTCTTTTTTTCCCTCTATGAGTTGGTTTTTAAAATACATATTGAAAACCTTAAGCAAAGCAGTGAAAAAAGTCTAAAATAACTCCTGTGTTTATAATCACAGTAAGCAAAGATGCTCCTTGCCAGACTGTAATATCAAAAGCATTAATAGTTTTAAATGCAACCAAAATGTTCACAATGCTTTTAAAGAGCTGAAGTTGAAATGGCAAGGAAGATCAACTTAATTTAGAAGACAGAAGAGGCAGCATCCCAGGAAAGTATACCTAGCAATGATTTCATTCATGCCTATGTATCACTTAACCCTATAGACATCAGAATTTCATGGCTTAGTTCCCGCTGAAGCATTACAATACTGGTTCACTGAATATGAAAGCATGCAAACAGTATAACATATATAACAGTAACCAAATACTAAACTTAAACATATGCACATCTAGCTCTAGCCCTTGTTATTCAAAGTACGTTCTGGGCCAAGAGCATGAACATTATCTGGGAGCTTATGAGAAATGCAGACTTTTCAGGCTCCACTCCAGACCACGTGAATCCAAATCTGCATTTTAACAAGATCCCCTGATGACACATCAGTATATTAAAGCTTGAGAAGCATTGTTTTGGGTGACCTCTGAAATTTTCCCATGTAAAGTTCTAGTCAAAAAATACAGAATTTTTGACTAAAGCCTACCTCTAAGTGTAAAACTAAGGATTAATTTTACCACTGCCTTCCATGTGCATCTGCAGCAAAAGAGTTAAGTACTACATTGGTTCTTGCCTTAAATAATATGTGATCCATGGGCTGGCTTTGATATCAACTCAGGGCACTAAAACAGGTCTTTGCTTCCTCAGCACTTACCTCCGCTGCTGTACGTGATGGTACTCAGTAAATGTGGATTGAATGAACTGAGCAAATAAACTTGAATGGACAAACATGTATCAGGGCCACTCTGAACAACTGAATTCATACCATGAGATTGTAACTATGTTCAAGGCTTTGGTATTATTTTTAACAAGACTTGAGTTAGCTATTATTTAAGCACCATCATTTTATTACAAATAACAAATCTATCCAAAACTAAATAGGATTAAATATCTCTGCTTAGATAACTATAAAAGTGTCAGAGATGTGTGAACCAGAGCAGCTCCATCTTGAATAGGCGCTGGGTAAAATGAGGCTAAAACCTGGGTAAAATGAGGCTGCATTCCCAGATGGTTAAGGCATTCTAAGTCAAAGGATGAAACTGCAGGTCTGCACAAGATACGGGTCATAAAGACTCTGCTGATCAAACAGGTTGCAGTCAAGAAGCTGACCAAAACCAAGAAGGTGATGAGAGTGACCACTGGTTGTCCTTACTGCTCTACTCCCACCAGCACCATGACAGTTTACCAATGCGCCATGGCAACATCAGGAAGTTACCCTATATGGTCTAAAAAGGGGAGACAAGAATAACAGGCTCCGTGTTTAGCATACCATCAAGAAATAACCATAAAAATAGGCAACCAGCATCTCTCGGGGCTGCTCTGTCTATAAAGTAGGCATTCTTTTACTCCTTCATTCTTACTAAAGTCGCTTTCACTTTACTGACTCACCCTGAACTCATTTTTGCACAGGATCCAAGAACCTGCTCTTGGGGTCTGGATCAGGACCTCTTTCCTGTAACAAAAGGATAACCTAAAGCATTCTTTTCTCTGCCCCATGTTTTCTTTCGAGAGCCTAGAGCCATCTGCTACTTAAAGACTGATGCAAAAATGCAAAAGACACAGTTCCTGCCCTCAGACAATGGACAGATAAAGTGACTGCTGGATCTTGGGTATGGTCAAATTTAGGCCTCTCAGGGCCAGTAATGGAGACTCAGAGATGGACATACAAACTTGTAATGTGCGGTCCTAACATAAATCTCCAAAGTCAGACAAGGTACTGTGCTCCTGGAAGACATGATATAAATATAAATGATACTAGAAACAAAGGAGATTTTTAAAATATTTCAGACTGTAAACAGGACCCAGTGTAGAACTGGAATGATGCAGTATCAGAGTCTTTATGAAAATGTCCTTTTTTAAAAGGCCTCATTTTAAAAAGAGCCGGTCTTGATTTAACGCTTCTCCTCTAAAACATCACCAAAAGCTAGAAGATGCTGAGTTGGACCAAACAAAAAAGTAGAGGTAAATGACAAAAGTTGACTCTACTTTCACATTTGAGATATGGCAGCAGGAGTTCTCTCCTAAATGACTAACTGCAGGGACTAAGCATAATCTGAGATGAAGGAACAGAGTATGTACATCACTGTACAAGGCAAAGTCTGAACAGCATGCGCACTCACACCAACAGTGAATATTCTAGACATACCACAACCAAAGATTAGAGATTTCCAAAACAAAGGAAAAAAAAAAAAACCTTAAAATCAAGTGAAATGTTACTTTTAATCTGTATAATATAGAGGTTATACACATTCAAAGATAATTACTATTACTGGCTGTAAAGAGAAGCAATCCTCCGTGGGCCTGGAGCATCCCTGCATATTCCTGCTGCGTGTACAAAGAAGGCAAGGTCCTAACCTCTTTTTACCTCAGCCATTTCTCAGGGCTGTGTTTGTAGCCCTGAGACAGTATCTTCAGGACAAATACTCCAGGCTTGTTTACTTCTTGCTGCAGCAGCAGTGTATTCCCCCAAACTCAGTATTCCTCTCCTGCAGTTCAATCTACTGTGCATGCAGGCACCCACACGGCGATTTACCATCACCCCAGGGTAATGTCAGCTTACAAAGAGGGCAAAACTCAAGATCCTACACAGTTCTTGACACTCACTGGAATTAAAAAAAAAGCCATTTCTGTTATTAAGATTTATCTTACCGGATCCAGATTCTTAAACAGCAGGATGTCTTTGCAAGCCTCTTGCAATCTATTTCTCTGATCATCAGTTTTTGGATGTATAATCTAAAAGGATACCAGATTTAAAAAAACAAAGACATTAGCCAATACCATCTCACTCAAAGAGATTTTTTAAAAATCTAACAAAAATCAGTAGAGATATTAGAAAGAGCTGTTAGTGCTCAGGTTCGCTTTAGGCTGGTGCTGAGACTCACTTTAGGTGACTAGTAACTATGAGCCCTACTAAGTAGGGGAACATAATTCACCTTGTGCAGGGGAGGCTGGTATCCACTCATCAATACAGCACTGAAACGTTTTTTCAAAACTGTATTTTCCCCTAGGTTAGCAAGTTCATTATGTACAGAACTGTGATTGTCTCCAAAGCTCCCAGCCAGCGGGGCCACGTACGATAGGACAACAGGTGCCAGCAACTACACTGAAAATCTGGACTGCCCTCATTCTGTTTCCACTGAGCTTAATATTATTTTGGGATATGGTTCTACCCTTTGAATCTTGAAAAGCTCTCTGGAAACAAGAAAATGTTTAAAATGTATATTGCATTAGATGCTAAGTATATTTTTACATACGTGGTATGCACCTGCCCCACAGTGAGCAAGTGGTTTTCGGAAGGGAGCACATGCACTGCCGCTCCAGGAGAATATGTGTTCTAGGAAAAGGCGTCCAGGGAGGCTGGCTAGTGTGCTGATTTTAGAAGAAACTCAAGGAAACCAGTACACTAGATTCTCACTAAACTTGTATTCTAGAGGGTGAAGACGGGCAGAATGCCCTGTAAGTGTGGCTTGCCATCTCTCGGAGTCCCTTTTGACTGGCAGGAGGCTCAACTGACTTGGACCAAAAGGTCTACTCTTTTGAAAACATGAGCAGTTTGTAACTATAAAATGTGTTAGAGGGACAAGGGGTAGTCCTAAAAGCAGCAGACACGGAGTCAGTTTCCTGAAGACCTATATACCACCCTTTCCTGTTCCAATGCTCACTCAAAGAGTGACCACGAGAGCTGATGGGCAGGTGCTGTGCCTCTTGAGGCAGCTGGCACTGCCATCAGAGCGCACAGAATCAGGCAGCAGCGGGGTTTATAGCCACAAACATCAAAACACACAATGGGAAATTTAAATCGGCATTTCAAACCATATCATACGGCTAAAATTTAATGAAAATTATAAGCCTGAAAAGAATTGAGATTTATAGTATTGGTATACTATTTATATGTAAACTATTGATATATATACCATTTATTTGCATTGTGTATACACTACATGAAATAACTATTAGCTAGTGAGAGAAAGGGTTACTGTACTTTCCCCTCTAAGGGTAAGGTAAATGTAATCCTTTGTTCACTATCTGCCCAATATTCATCTGAAACTAGATTCTAAGATGACACACAAACACGGACAAAGCAGACCCCAGGGCCTCCTCACTCACTGCTGCATAAGAAAGCTTCAAAATTGAGGGATTAACCAAATCAACCAACCAAACTTCACTTCCTCCTCCTTCAAATAAGGAAGGCTAACACACTAAAACAGAACAAAAAGTCATTTCTCACTTCACAAAATCCATTGAGAACTTCAAACCGACGTAACCGAGATGTCTGCCTGCTGAGAAGTTCTGTTCTCAGAAAGGAAAGATGGGGAGGTGAGTGTGTCAGCATCATGCACCTGCTTCGCTCTGGTCAATTTAAAGTCTTTCTCCCGACCTCATTCAATTCCTATGAGCCTTCACACAGAAATCCAGCTTTTTCCTCTTTTCTCTTCTTCCTGCTACCTCTCTTAACAATGACCACTTCTAAGTAGTCTTTGTTTCTCAACCACACCTGCATCACTCTAGTCTACTGTTCTCTCCTGTCTCCCTTTTCCCTCACCCTGCCATTACTCCTCAGCACCCAAAGTCCACTCTCTGTCATTAACCTCATCAGTAAATCCCTCTTCACTGGGGAAAGTACACAGTCAGAAAGCAGGTGTGGTCTCCAACACTCCAGCTCCTCTGCATTGCAGCCACCTGCTCTGAAGATGCTCTTCCATGTTTTTTCTCTGGGGTTTGGCGTGATCCCACTTACGGGGTCTGTCTCTGGATCACTGAGGCCTCAGCAATACACCTAAAGTGGGATTCTTTTAGTCTACTAGAGGCCACTTTGGTTTTCATTAAAATTCATTCTTGATTTCACATACAAATTTTATTTGTTAAACAAACATAGCATAAATAAATACATGGCAGGTACTATTTTAAGAGCTTTACTAATATTAACTCATTTTATCCTAGTGACAGATCCCATAAAGCAGAGGTTAAGAAATTTAAAGTTCGGCTGGGTGTGGTGGCTCACGCCTGTGATCCTAGCACTTTGCGAGGCCGAGGCAGGTGGATCACAAGGACAGGAGTTCAAGACCAGCCTGGCCAAGATGGTGAAACCCCATCTCTACTAAAAATAAAAATTTTTAAAAATTAGCTGGGCATGGTGGCAGGCACCTATAATCCTAGCTACTTAGGAGGCTAAAGCAGGAGAATCACTTGAATCAGTGGGGGGTGGGGGTTGCAGTGACCCGAGATCCTGCTATTGTACTCCACCCTGGGCAACAGAGTAAGACTCCATCTCAAAAAAATAAGAAGAAGAAAAAAAGAAATTTAGAGTTAAGGAAATGAACTTGCCCAAATAATTTGCCCAGTGTCATTCAGTCCATAAGGTGCAGAATCAGGATTCATGCCAGCCAGGCCAGCTTCAGAGTCTAGACTCTAAGCCAGGGATCAGCAAACTATACCTGCAGGCAAAGCTGTTTTTGTATGGCTCCTAGGCTAAGAATAATTTTACATTTTTTAATGACTGGGGGGGAAATCAAACAAATGATAATATTTCTTGACACATAAAAATTATATTAAAGTCAAATTCAAGTGTCATAAATAAAGTTTTAGTGGAACACAACAGACATGCCTTTCATTCATATATTACCTACAGCTGCTTTCAAGCTACTACAACAGAGCTGAGTCCTTCCAAAGGACACCCTATAACCTCCCCAGAGCCTAAAATGTTTATTCTCTGAAAATACTGCATTTTTCAGCTAAAAAAAAACTTTACCAAAAACAGTTTGCCAATTTCTGCTCTAAACTTCTGCTGCCTTTCTAATACAAATAATAATAAAAAACAATTAGAAAACCAGTTAATAAGTAACGTTTAAACTTAGACATTTTCTTTAAACAACACTGGATATTTGTCAGGCACAGTGGCTCATGCTGGTAATCCCAGTACTTTGGGAGGCCAAGGTGGGTGGATCACTTAAGGCCAGGAGTTCAAGACCAGCCTAGTCAACAGGGTGACACCTGTTGACTATTTTTCCCATCTCTATGAAAAATACAAAAATTAGTGAGGTGTGGTGGCGCAACCCCATAGTCCCAGTTAGTCAGGAGGCTGAGGCATGAGAATTGCTTGAACCCAGTGGCAGAGGTTGCAGTGAGCTGAGATGCCACTGCACTCTAGCCTGGGTGACAGAGCAAGACTCCATCTCAAAAACCAAAGAAACAAAACCAAAGAAACAAAAACACTGTATCTATGTTGTTAGCCATGAGACATCTATACTAGATATTTTCATATTTGTCCCACTCATTCACCACACAGAGCTGAAAATAATCTTGCAAAAATTTAAATCAGAATACTCCCTTTTCCAGCTTAAAACCTCAATGGACTTTATCACATTTGGTGAGAATTAAATCCCCATTCCATCCTTTTCTACCCTCAATAAAGCCACTCGGGTATTGTGGGCTCCACCTGCCCTCCCCTCTGCCAGGCTCAGCTCCATCTAAAAGGCACTAAAGGGCTTCTGGCCAGACTCTGCCTGCTCATCCTTTCAGCCTAACCTCAAGGACGCCTGCTTCAACCATTGCATAGTATCGGGACCCCTGCTGGCTTGGGGGCTGTGTTTTGATTCCTACACTTTGTTGCACTGTTTCTTTAGCACTTCATGTTTTGTAACTATTCATTAATTTGTTTACTTGTCTGCTTGTGACTGAAAGCTCCAAGAGGGTAGAGACTTGTCCACTTGCTCACCACTTTACACCTAGCACCAGGCCAGATTTGTGGAGAAACATAAAAGTACTCTACCCTTAATTGTATCAGCTCTTCTCTACCAGTTTCTAAATGCTAGATCTAGACAACCCTTAAATTTTCATGTACTAAAGCCATTCCGACTAAAATCTGTTATTTTCCAAAATGAGTCTTAACCATTTACATTTTCATTGAATTCAAATCAGAGGATAAATTTCTGATTACACTAGAGACTTAAGGATTTGGTGAGTCTCAGAAGTAATAAAAAATGTCCAAATGAAATGTCACTTTATCACAGTATAGTATACATTTTCCTCACAGATATTTCCCAATATCCTTCTAGAGCTCAATAATTTTGAAATCTGTAGTAATCATTCCCAAGCATGTGATGTGGTTTGCCTCAAAGTTTCTAAGACCTAAATAAGTACAGTTTTTAGTAACACATTTAGAGGAGAGAATACTCAACCTAATTGAGAACCTACAAGTACTCTGCTATAATCAAACATTTAATAAATACATTAATTACCAAAAAAACGCTTAAAAATAACTTTAAAAGGCGTTACAGGAACAGCTCTTAGGGTAAATGACCAACCCACAGTGATTCCTCCTCCTCTAGTAAATGCCCTTATTTATAGATGTGGTTCTCAAGTAGGTTGGACTTTTTGACCCTGCCCCTACCCTGGGCCAAAGCAGGTTCCACCAGAAACTCTTGGGGAGCTGAAGCAGAAGAACTGCTTGAACCCGGGAGGTAGAGGTTGCAGTGGGCTGAGATCCCACCCTTGCACTCCAGCCTAGGGACAGAGTGAGACTCCGTCTCAAAAAAGAAAAAAAAAAAGAAAGAAACTCTTGGGAAATTGGAATTTTGAATTGAGAAGCACAGTCATAGAGACTGGCAGCTGAGCCCCTTTCAGAGACAGTACTCTGAGTGTTACACTCCTGCTCTTGATGGGCCCCACGGGTGGGCTGGCTCCTGCCTGCCAAACCTACAGCTTGGCTTTTCAACTGTTTCTGCAGTTCAATACGATCTTCAGGCAACTGTCTGTTCATCTCCCCAGTGCTGTCTTTTTCACATTTGTCTCGACAGGGTTAGGTTTTACACAGTCAAAGGAATCTGAACTGGTATAGCCTCCCCAGCAAAAGTGTTAGAAATTACCTGGAGTGAACCTGCCAAAACACTTTATTTACCTCATGAATTAAATGACAGCTAAAACTCAAGGCCTAACGGCTTTTGAATCGATGAGATACTGCATATTGTTTTTAAACTCTATTGTCAAACGTTCATTAATTTAGTTTTTATTAATTTAAACCAGCTCATCTCAATTGCTCTTATCTCAATTACTAAATTTTATCATACCCATTTTATACACTATAAAGAATGCATGTTGCCTTCAATGTCACCCAGTATTGTTTCTGCTAGATACATAAAGTATGCGGTAGGCCAGGTCTAGTTTTTTAGACTATACAAAGCAGTAACAGTAAATCACAGCTTAGGAAAAATACCTTAATCCTAAAACAACATAATTTCCAGGCTGGGATTTATGGACTTCATGAAAATAACTGAAGTTCTAGTATTGAGAAATGAGCTTCCCTGGTAGTGGGAATCCCCACGGGTCCAGGAATAAAATGGGATTTCAATATCTTCCGTTTTCTAAACCTCCTGATGCCACTGGATTTTACATACGTTTCAAGGAGCTTAATGATGTAATGACTTAGGGATGTATTATCTGCTTCTCCACATGAAACCTCAATCTTACTTAGGTACTTTTCAGAGCTACAAAAATAAGTTTTTGTTGATACTGTTTGAGGCCAAAGAGACAAGAGGCACTTTGCAACGTATGTACTCAAAAAAAGGGGAGGAGGGTGGCACAGAAATTATTACCTTCCATCTCCAGCCATGGTAATCTCTTAGTTTACTTTTTGCTAAATACAGAATAGAACTGAGCTGAAAGACAGCTTAAAAAGTCCTCAAACCACAGTGGATGAGCTCTTACAAAAACATTAGGGCCTGCAAGAGGTCCGCTGCTGAGCAAACTATGAAGACTCACAGATTTAAAAAATAATCCTAACTGTGTACTGACACGCTGGATGTAATTTTACTGTGATTTGTTTGTTTCAGAGTAGCTTTCTGTTGCTACTCTGAGCAGCAACAGAAATTAACAGGAATAGAAGGTCTTTCTCGGTATTTTTGTTTACTGGAAATGCTGTCTAAGAAAAATAATATTATCACTATGAGAAAGACAGCTGAAAACATTTTTCATCACCAGGATATATTTTGCAAAGAAAAATACTCTTTGGATAAAAACAAGTCTGCAAGACACACAGCAGGAGTAGGCTACTGGAGATAAGACTGGGAAAAGAAATAGTCAAAACAACTCCATTCTGTCTCCTGTTAACCTGTGTGCCTGTTAACACCTTTTCTATTATTATTTTATAGACAGTATGACAAGGGCATCCATTAAAATTCATTCTTTCAGTAAATTACATACCCTGGACTCTGCATCGTCTTCTTCTTCATCAGGATTATAAGCTTCTGCACACACTATAAACATAAAAATGAACATTTTAAAGATAGTTTCATCAAAAACCATACTACAATGAGTACATCGTTAACATTTAATGAACAAAAAGGGTACCACAGTATAAAAAAAATTAATTCACCTCAACGAGGGAAAGCAGTCTACCCCTTAAAACTGGTTTCATATTGCAATTAATAATGAGTTTATTTAAAAATAAAGCTGTATTTTAGGGCATTGATTTCTCCTATTTAGACAAATATAGCTTAAATCCTTTCATTTTCATTTCCAAGGCATAATATCTAAACATGACTTAAAACAACAGAAACAAAAGAAAAGGCTGTCTGCCATGAAATAATCCATTTAATTATATAGTTGTGACTAACTTTCATGAATTATCCATAATCCAAATATTATGGAACAAATATTAACATTTTACATACTTCAGGAACAAATATTAACATTTTGCATATTTCCTTCCAGTCTTTCTTCTGGGTTGAGTTTATATTGAATATGTAACTTAAAAACCTGCTTTTTTGATTTAACTCTATGAGAACAATCATTAGAAACCCTGTGTAAAAACTGCATTTAAAGACTGCAAATTATCATATGCTATAATTAACTACTTCTCTAATGCTGAACATTTAGCTGGCTGATAGTAAAACAACTTTGCAATAAACATCGTCATGCATAAATATTTGTCTACATTTCAAAGTATGCTGTAGCATTATTCCCAAAGTTATTTTCGAGGACTATTAAATGGTGTAACCATTTTTAGAGCACATTTATCACTATGTTTCTTTCTAGAAGGGTTGTACCCATCCACTGTCCGATAAAAAATATGTAAGAAGATTCCCCTAACTATACAACAGAAATGGATACTATTACTTAAAACCTTTGTCAATTTAAATAATTTAAATTTTTAAAAAATTATTAAATTTGAACTATTTTCAAATGTGTACAGGCTGATGGTATTTCCTCCTTTGTCCATCTCTATAGGAAATATCTGGTTTTCTTTTTGACTTAAATTAGTATTTTAATACCACTTTGTCTGTCATATTACTCATAATCATTTTATTCAATTTGCTTTTCAATGATTATTATAAAGTTTTTATAGACTATGCATGTTTATTTTTAATGTCATGACATCTATAAAGACAGAAAATTCCCCAGTGTGTTTTAAACTCAACATTAAACATCACAGAAGTACCACTGCTTTTGACCCTGAAAACCCTTTTCTTATTTACAAATCTAAAGATTTACTTCTTTTTCATTCAGTTGTTTAAAGGCAGAGATTTTTACATGTGCTATTTAATCTATATGGAGTTTTTTCTGGCATAGATGTAAACACTTAGGAACAAAGAACAAATGAAAGGACCAATGTCTTCCTGGTGGCCTCAGGGTGGCCTCAAAAGTATTATCATCTTTGGTACCACTATTCCCATTATTATCATAATCACAAAACTTGGCATTTTCTTTTCCCCAGGGACCACTCTATACACCTGGACCAGTGATTCTTAACCAAGTCCTATTGTGCCCTCCACAGGGGTAATTTTGCCTCTGTGACATTTTAATTGTCATGACGACAGGGGGTTAGAAGGATGCCACTAGCAGCTACTGGGTACAGGCCAGTGATGCTGGAAGCACCCTATGATGTACGGAATGTCCCACCCTGAACAGAAAGAATTATCTGGCCGAAAATGTCAGCAGTACTGAGGCTGAGAAGCCCTGATCTAAAGTACATTATCTCATTCAATCTCACAACAATCTTAACGTAGGTGTTAATGTCATCACTTGACAGATAAAACACTAGGGCACAGGAAAGCCAAGATCTTCCTAGTAAGTGACAGGACCTACATTTTATCCAGGACTGTCTGTCTTGACTCCAAAGCTCTTGCTCTGAACCACTATTCTACATATGACTGCTTTGGTGAATTTACCAGCATAATTCCTGGACTTCAGCCTTCCGCCTCAGAAATATAACAGAAATGGACGAGTCATGCAGAAGCAGGCTCACATTAAAAGAACCTCATTGACACATGAAACCAGAATGCCAATTTAGTAACTACCTTCCTGAGCAAAGGATGGGACCAGCCCAACTAGCTACATCTCTCCCTGCTGGAAAACCACAGAAACAGCCAAGCCACTACTGAAAGATTGCTTGGTGAGCAGGAAATGAGAAGTAATAAAATCTGTTAAATAACTTGAATGTTTCATAGTATCAGGCTGGACAGCCTGAGGCACTCAATAGGGATGGCTCTGCCAATGTGTCTGGGACACATTAACTGGGTTGGCTGCAACTCTCCAGAGAGCACAAAGACATCTACTTCTAAAGCTTGGTTCTCTAATTTTCTGTCCTTAGAGATGGCCAACTTCATAGGCAGGACTGCTACATAATTTGAGCAAGAAAAAAAAATATATATGGGCCCCATCTTCAAATATTAAGACTTTCCAGAAGACAACAAAAGCAGAGCATTAAAGCAAATGCACAGCCCTTGACAGTGCAGGGCCCACGAAGCTGGCCATGTTCATAGAATCAACACATTCAACGAGGTGGTGCAGTAGACAGTAGGCAAAATAATTGGTTGTTTCAGGTAACTTGTTTTCCACATACACACACACACACACACACACACACATACACACCCTCTGATCCATTAGTGTTTATGTTAAATTTTAATTCACAGAAAGCAATCCTAATTCTCAAATTTCTAAGCGCCTAGCCCCTAAACCCTAAAAATCATATGGAGTAAGAATCTATTATCTTTCCAAATAGTTTATCAATTGTCACAGTATTATTACTTAGCAGCCTGTTGATCTGTGATAGCCACTTTATGACACAGTATGTTTGTCTGTCTGTTTCTGGGCTGTTTTACTGAGCTATATATTGTGCCAATACTACAGGACTTAGTTCTTGGCATTCCTGTTACAATTGTTTCACTACATTAGAATTCATCTACCCTCACCTCCTATAACCAAACGAAAATAAAGTATTTGCAGTTTTGTGAAGCTGTCATGGTGCCTTATAGCTCCTTATCATCACTTAAACTGTTTCTTCTGGTTGGAACTCCTAATCTCCCTTCCAAGCCATCTCTTCTCTCCAGCCTCAACTAAAAAGTCAGATCAAGAGTGGCATCTTGACCCACACAGAACTAATCCAGGAAACTCCACTTTTGTGCTCACCCTTTGCACTTTTGCAGTACAGTAGAAGGGCTCATTATTGTCGTTTACCACACTGCATGTTTCCAAAGATGTTATAAGCAGCTTGCCTCTCCAGGCTGAGCCATAAACCTCCAGGGACCGTGTGCTCTTGTTCATCTCTGTATTTCCCTAGCACTGACCTGGCACATTGCCTACTAGCTCATTGCACTTTTTAAAAAATAAATAAATAAATGACTGGTTGATCAACAAACAAGCATGCAATGTCCTTGAGGGCAGAGATGTCTTTTTTTAACATATCACAATAATGTACTTAAATTACACATGCTCAAACACACATGGAAAAAATGAATGAAGGAAAACTTGCTTAATGTTAAAACTACACAGTTTGTCCAAGAAATGGGGACAGAGAGGATGAGTGAAAATGAGGGCCTTTTGTCTTACTTGCCAAAGGCCTGGCACAAATATTAGGAGGCCAGTAAATGTTGCCATAACAAATAAATGAATGAATGGCTCTATCCCTGGATGGACACTCAAGCCAAAGCCTCCAGATAACTTGTACTGCCCCATATTCTTTCTGAAATGTATTTGCCCCATACCTCCTATGAAATCTGAAATTTAGCTTGAAATTATGTACTTCATTCTTTTTGTTTGGCAATTAAACAGTGGTCAGAACCAGAACCTTATTCTTTAAGTGAATATTATATGGAGGTTTCCCTGTTCGGTTGTGTACGCATGTATTTATGTACTACACTGGTTATACAGAATGGCTCAAGAATTTAAACAGATTCCCACATTGTAAAGAGAAGAATGTACACTGGTGTAGCCAGACAATGGTTACAGGTTGCAGGACAGAACAGGAAAATATGAACTATACTGACTTCGCACCTTGTGGGACGTGGCCCTCAATCTTTTCATGCGCTATACAAATAGAATGATAGATGAGGGGTTATTCAACTCCGAGGGTTTTTCACCAAAAGCCCACAACATTTTGTTGCTAATGATTTAAAAATCAGTACATTGAAAAGGACTCTGCACTGGACAAGTATACATAACCCATATTTGCATTCTTGCTAGCAAGGAATTAAAGAAAGCAGACTGGACTCCACCAGTCACTGGGTCCTCAGCTCTGGCAGAGTCCTGCACACAGTAGACGCTCAGTAAGTATGTGCTGAAGGCATGAAAGGCAAATACAGCTCGCACAGAATGACTGCATGGTTTAGAGGCCTTCAATCCAGAAAAATTGATTTATATAAAATCTATAAAAGTGAATGTGCCAATGTTCTCAATAAACTAAGATTTTAGCATACTATTTAAATAATAATTAGCTTAAAATAAAGCTCTTATAAGAGCACAGGTGTATTAAATAACACAGTTGTGACTCAATAGAGTTAAACTTAGCTTATTGAAGTGGAAATGCCCTCCTACAAAGGAAAAAATTTACCTTTTTCAAATATTAGTTTAAGGCATGCATCAACCAAGAAAACTGGTTCTTAGAGGGGCAAAAAGACTTCCTGTATTTTTTTTATAAAGCACAGATATACATTCAATACATAAACAGATATACAGTATTTCGGTGGCAGTAAAATCTAATTGGGGGCACTTAGGGAGAAACAACCTAAAGAGACTGGGGTAGGGGGTGATACTGGAATAAAGATTGAGAAACACTGGTAAAAGGCTGTACAGTTACATATACTTAGCTAAGAGGCACGATGACAAGTTAATAGGCCTCCCCCCGCCCCACATTCATCCACATTTCTGCCCAGGTAATTTGGTATAGACCTGTTCTCATCTATTAGTAATAGTCCTAAATTTGAATTCACAGAGCAAAGGCAACTGAAGAACATGCCCAAAAGACAGAAGTTCA